AGATAAACAATACAAATAAAATCTATGTGTTAGAGCTGGTTAAAGTATTTTATTAATAATAATATTATTACTATATGGTTTGCTCGGTCTAAAGACCTCCTATTGCTGCGCCATATAAACAATTTCGAAAAATAACAATTTTGTAATTCGTTCAAAATTTTTCAAAAAACAGGACTTCACGTGATTTTAGTTTTTAAAAATTATTTCTTATGATTCGAATTGTCGTCATTCATTTATTATTCGAATTATTACCATTCGTTATTCGAATTGTCGTCATTCATTTATTATTCGAATTATCATTTAACTATCGATTGAATTATTTATTTTATTTGTTTATTTGTGTTATTTGAATTATCTGCTCATTCATTTTATTTGAATTATTGAATTATTGAATCATTCATTATTCATTTTATTCGAATATCCAAATTCATAGCGAGTAAAACAAATAATTTGAATGAACTCTATTTGAATAGAAACCTAATCAAGCAGTATAGTTTTATATAGTGATTTTAATTTAGTTTGCCATATTCGATGACTCCAATAACTCGGATCACATGCTTGCAATATTTATTACAGGTTTATGACTTTAGGGTGTCAATGCTGAATTGTTGTAGTTCAAATAAAATTTAGATAAATCTAAGTAATATTAATATTATCATTCGTTATTCGAATTGTCGTCATTCGAATTATCGTTATTTGTTTATTCAAATTGTTATCATTCGTTTATTATTCGAATTATCATCACTCATTTATTCGAATTATCTTCACTCGTTTATTTGAATTGCTATGATTCGTTTATTCAAATTGTTATCATTCGTTTATTCGTTTTACTCACTCGTTTAATCAAATTATTCGAAATATTCGAATTGTTCATTTTATTTCAAACTATTCATTTATTCGTTTATTTGAACTATTCAAATTATTTCGTTTATTCGAATTTTGGATCATTATGAGAAAATAACATACTAGAGGTTGGAACCAGTTAACCTTAACCGGTTAATTAACCGGTTAAAGTATTTCGTTAACCGGTTAGAAACAGTTAAAATGTAGATCACCCTTAAATTAGTTAATTTTAATTTCCAATTAGTATTAGGAAGAATGAATAAACTAATACTTCTTTTTATTCTTTTGTTTTATAATAAAGAATGGCTGATAACGAAATAAATGATGGTTGTTCAGGATTTTTTGACTTTAGAGATAATGAAGAGTCTTCATTTGAATCACAATCAGTCATATCTTCTTCAATTTCTTTTTTAGAATCGCCTATTAATAGTCAACAAATCAAAAAACCAAAATTATCAAAAAATCAAAGCTTTGTATGGAAATATTTTAAAAAAATCGAGAATGAAAAAGCTCAATGTATAATTCCTATAATAAAAAATGGAAAAGAAGAACCATGCAATGCATCTTATAAATTCACAGGTTCTACTTCAAACATGAAATACCATTTGAATGTAATGCATAATAAAACTGAAGACAGAAAAAAAAGTAAATATAATTTTTGATAAAAGAATATTATTCATAAGTAATATATTTAATTTTAAAATTAAACTTATATTATAGGAACAAAAAATACAACAACCAACAATCAGTTCAATGATTAGTAGAGTAATACCTCATGGAAAATCACAACAGCATAAGTTGAATGTAACCTTACTTGAATTTATTATTACTGATTCTTTTTGTAAAAAGAAATTCAAAATATATGAATATATTTACATTAATTGATTAAGGTTTTTGGCTGGTTCCAACCTCTAGATTTGTTTGGTTTTAAATTTTGAAAGTCAATTCCGAATTGTTTTTTTTTTCAACTTTAAAAGACTTGGGTTGGTTTCTTTAACAATAAAGAAATCTACCTTGCATGTTTTTTTTCCACGAAGCTAAATTTTTTTTAGTGTAGGATCTATGACGTAATCAATAACAAACAATATAAAAGTTCGTTCATTTAGTATATTTGACGACCTGCGAATAAAAATAAATTTTTTTGTTCCACTACATAAATGTTTAGTGTGCTGATAAATAAAATAGAGAAACGATTTGTCTTTACTTGTGCAAAGAAAAAAGTTTAATATTTAGTACCTGTGGATTTTTGGATATAAACATTTTTACTTAAAATGCTGAAAGCAACTTTATCACCTGAACTTTTAATATCAATATTTAATTACATTGAAAATGATTATAAAACACTTTATTCTTGTATTCTTGTTAATAGGCAATGGCATTACATCAGTATTCAAATTTTATGGAAAGATCCATTTTATTCTGTTAATAGTATTGGGTTATTAATTAATTGTCTGTTAGTAGAAAATAAAAATTTTTTAACCAGCAGCAACATTAAATTAAAAAATTTTGAATTACTTGAAAAATCACCATTATACAATTATGCAAAATTTACAACTGTTTTAAATTTCTTTGACATTAACAATAAGTTAAAAGATCTAATAAGCAATGATTACAATTTTATAAGGATTGTTCATTTAAAAAAAGGTTGACAGACTTTATTTTAGACTATTCAACAAATATTAAAATACTTGATATTGATGATACTGGATTGCCAATTAATCATCCTAGATTTAATATTTGTTTTCAAAATCTTTATGAATTCAAATGTAGTAGCTTTGGTACTAGTAACTTATACGATAAACTTGGATATGTTTGTAAAAATATTCAAGTTTTAAGATTAGATGATCTTGATTTTTTAAATATAGGTCAAGATAGTTATAACTTGGCACAATTAATTAAAGCACAAAATCAAATTAAAGAATTACATCTTAGAAAATTCAAACATGCAAATATTTCAGCTGAGGTTGTAAGAGCACTATTAACTCATTCAGAATCAATAATTGAATATTCAAGTTTGGAAGAAAATTATTTAAATCCTCTATTAATTCCAATGTTTAAAAATTTAAAATATTTAAGATTAGATGATTATCATCATAATACTCATTTGGAATACTTAAAAACTATTTCACTTCCAAATATTGAAGTTGTGGTTGTGCATGGAAGAATTTATAAAAATTTATTTCTATTAAGTCTGTCAGAATTTATTAAAATCAATGGAAACAGTCTCATAACTATAGATATTGATGTCTATATACGCACTGGATATTTAAAAGATTTAAAAGAACTGTTAAATTCAATTGGACAAAAATGTCATAATTTAGAAGATTTAAGTATAGCTTATGATAATAGATTTGATCAACAGTTGTTTGAAATATTTAATAATTGTAAAAAATTAAAAAAGTTTCAATTTCATGAAATATTTGATTCCTTTTCCGGATTTAACCAAGTGGTTGATTGGTATGGAGGTAGT